AGGAGCAGAAGAAGAAGGAGGAGAAGGAGAAGAAGGAGCAGAAGCAGGAGAAGAAGCAGAAGAAGAAGAAAAAGAAGAAGGAGGAGAAGGAGAAGAAGGAGCAGAAGCAGGAGAAGAAGCAGAAGAAGAAGAAAAAGAAGAAGGAGGAGGAGGAGGAGAACAAGATGAGAACATAGCTATGTTTTTCAAAGTTGTAACAAGCATGATGAAGAAAAACAGAAACCGCAGAAGAGGTAAATCAAATTTCAGAAAAGGGAAGATGAACAATGATAATGACAAAAATGATGGAATATGCTACGACTATGGAAAACATGGACACATTTAAGCTGAAAACCCTGAACTGAAAAAGAAACTAAGCAAGAATTTTCAAAAGAAAAAATCATTTGGAGCTTGGAGTGATGAAGAAGAATTTGATACGAAGAAATTGCCAACATGTGCTTCATAGCCATCAAAGAAGATAGCGATGAAGACTCAGGTGAACTTGGTCTCATGGCAGACGAAGGAACAAGTGCGGTACGTCTTCCTACATGTCCTAACTGTCATCAACTCCAAGAATTTATTGATATTTCTCTTTGATGGTAGGCTATAATTGCATATTTTAGTCGCTTATTGCACTCTAATTCACTGCACTTTATTTATGTGTGAGCTTTAATTGGGAGTGTTTTGCACTTATTGTGTGTTTTATGCCTTGTAGGAGTGATTCCGAGCTATGTAGATGTTATGGAATGAATTAGAGCTATTTGGAGCTTTGAAGTCTGAGTAAAAGACCAAGGGATTAAGCGGGATCATGTTCGGGGATCGAGGACCAAGTCTGGATGTCAAAACGCTCGAAAACTCCGTACTCTGAGAAATCTTCACTGTCGCGGCGCGTGAGGCGGTGCGTAGGGCGCCGCGGCTTTACAAATCTCTACTGCCTGTCAGAATCAACTCTCTGGATTTCCCCACTAATGCCCCGCATGGCGCGTCGCCCCATGCATCATGCCTGCGCAATATTTACAGAGTAAAAATCCGGTTTAGGCTAGGAGAAGGTGGTTTCGTCTGGGCCCGACCCTACTTGGTATAAATACATGGAAAAACATTATTTCCTAGACTTTTGACACATATTAGACCTAAGTAAGCTAAGGAGGAGTTGGAAAACACGAGCACATGGATTTTATCATTTCTTCCTCACTCTAGACACGAGTTTGGATTGAATTTATGCTTTCCTCTACTTTAACTTTATTTGTGATGAATTTCTCCATATATATGGAGTAGTTCCCCTTAGGGTTTGATGGATTCGGTGTATTGATGATTGTTTGTGGATTATAACTCTAGTTTTTATGTATTGAAGCATTTTTGGATGATTTAATTGTTGTATCTATATTTACTTGTTCATGTAATCGAGAGTAGCATAACTTGTGATATCTTTACATTATATTGTTGGTTGAGTTCATTAATTCTTCTTAGTAATTGAAAGAGGCTAGTTGAGCCATTGATTAAACCTAGTTAGGAGAATAATCGACGGAGGTTTTCCTAAAGACCAATCCATTACGCATTCTTGCATATCTTCAGTGCTTAAATTGGTTCATCTTGTGAGGCTAAGAGTTAATCGAGAGAGGAATTTTTGCTGAATGTTTGAACTAATAATTGAGTGAATTCGAGAGACTCACTTGAACATTAGAAGTGAATAATCTAAAGTTAGAGTCCAAATAATTATCTTGCACCTATCCTATCAACCCTTATTTTCTCCCACTGATAACTTCCTTGCTTATCTTTCTTTCGATTGTCATTAGTCAATAACTTTAGATTCTTAGTTAATTTAAGTTAGAAATCATATAAACCTCAATTGTTGATTCTCTTGGATAGCGATCACGCTAGAAACTACGAGAATATTTGTCACGATCCAAATCGATGGGCCGCGACGGGTGCCCGAGTCCTACCTGTCGAACACCCCTAAGCATTCGTCTAAGATATAAACCTAAATAACATCTGCTGAATTACGAGAATAACATACATGAAGGAAACCTTCCAAAAAGGAATATGTATATATACGTGCAAAATACAGTGGGCGAGCCGGCAAGACTGCTATAGATAACTATATACCCAAACTGGAAGCCGACAAGGCCACATACTATCCGACTATACATAACTGTCTATAGACCTCTAACAGAAAATACAACTATACAAGGATGGGACTGGGCCACGTCATACCCATATATGTATACAAGCATATCGTACCAAAATCAAAAGCAGATGCGGATCAAGTGGAGCACACCAACTCTCGCTGATCAAGAATCCTAAGAAGGGGGACCATCAGCTTGACTACCTACACATGCGGGCATGAAATGCAGGCCCCGGGAAATAGGACGTCAGTACAAATAATGTACTGAGTATGTAAGGCATAAAAATCAGTACATAAAAGACATAGATGAAACATGGAATAAAGAAATCCACTTATAAGTCTGAATAACTTTGTAATCCTGAAATATCTATAATGTCATGCGCGTGCATATAAATGTCGTGTCATACATAGGTATAGGTGTACATAATATCATCAAGCCTCTGAGGGCATCCCATCATATCATCTCGGCCACTGTGGGCAAAATCATCAACATATACCAACTGATCAGGTGGTGGTGCGTATATAACGCTGTAACATTTTTCCGTATCCCATACACGTATAAGTATATATATTTATATGCATATATAACGCCATCTGGTCTTGGGTTAGTGTACATGTATAAATGCATGAAATGCATATGAAATACGTTAATAAGATATCTCGGAATGTCATAAAAATAATATGTCTGTCGGATAAATTTTATCAAATACGTATTTTTCTAAGACCCATGAACAGAAGATATAATAATAATTCACATGGGGAATCAAGAATATAGACACCCCTAGTATTTCTATGAATAGAGTCATTTATGAAAATTATATATTTTGCTCGTTTCATTTGAATCATTTGGACCATGCCAAAAGAAAGAAGGGATAGCCTTAACATACCTGGAGTAGGGAATAATTCGTATGATATTCTTGGAAAAGGTTGCACCATACTCCTTTAGAACCGAAAAAATTCACGTTGCTACTGTGCTAAGAAATCTTGTTGGTTGAAGAAATCACGTTGTAGTGTTTTTGTAGGAACTTGTAGGAATTTGTAAGAAATTATGTTGCTAATGTGCTAAAGCTCACGTTCTTGATTGTAGTGTTGTGTAAGGAATTATAGGAATCTGATTGTAGTGGTTGAGAATGAAATGTTGTTTGTATTCAAAATTCTAGAAATGAAGTGTCTTGAAATTAATATATTAGGTTGCCACCTAATCACAAATGACCAAGAGTCATTTGTTTGGGTAGTGTCTTGCTGCCACGTGGGGTGGGGGAGGGGTCTTAATCTTTATCCTATAACCAATTAATTAATTAGGTAATATTCCGCTATCCGATAATTAACCAATTACCCATATAATTAAGAATTATCTTAAATTACTTAAAATACTACTTATTTTTAATATACTTTATACATCATACTTTCACGGCTATATGATACCTTGTATGGTACGAGTCCATAAATACTGGGTATTATAGCTCGCACCGTATTTTATCCAAAATCGACAATCTTCAATCGAAACTCATTTTCTTTAATTCGTGTATCCTTTACCCTTCATGGCACTTACTTATCGCTTGTTATAAATAGTATAAATACGTTAACCTCAAGATAATCGCATCCCCGAGTCTACGTCGATTAACTGAAGACGAAACTTTAACATATGAAAACATGAGATGTAACAATATTATTTAAATTCAATCCGTGTGGATATGATATTATACTATACTATATTTGATTGGCGAGCATAATTTAAGTGTGTGTTCTGAGCTCGTCAAATTTTGGCGTCGTTGTTGGGGATTGACAATCAATAGTGATTCAAATAGTTTGTAGTGATAATTCAGGAATATTTCATTTTATTTTATTTTATTTTTCTCTTTTTACGTTTGGTGTTGTTGACTGTGCGCAGGTTACATGTTTAGATTGGTGTATGACTCGAGCTTCTACGAAGGAAGTGCTACCATACTAGCCAGAAATTGAAAAATAACTGCGACAGCTGATGAAAGAAGGAAATCTCAACGAGACATCAGAAATGGTTGGGAAATCCTCAACCAAAGAAACTATGGCTAGAAACGGTGAGGATAATGTGGATTTGGCTGCAAGAGAGGTAGCCCAACGAAGAGAACAAGTTGCACGGGATGCTGAGGAAGCAGTCATTAGAGATGCACAAGATGACTACTGGGTCAAAGCCATGAAAGATGAACTTGATCTATTTGAAAGAAATAAAGTGTGGGACTTGGTTCCAAAACCATCAAATGCTTCAATCATAGGAACTAAATGGATTTTCAGAAATAAGCTGAATGAATCTGGTCAAGTAGTTCGTAACAAAGCAAGGCTAGTCGCCCAATGTTACTCTCAGCAAGAAGGAATCGACTACGATGAAACATTTGATCTTGTGGCAAGATTAGAATCCATTCAAATACTACTTATTTTTGCTGCTCATAAAGGATTCAGGCTATTTCAAATAGATGTAAAAAGCTCCTTCCTAAATGGATATATCTCTGAAGAAGTATACGTGAAACAACTTCCTGGCTTTGTAAGCAACATCTTTCTAAACCATGTATTCAAGTTGTCAAAAGCTTTATACGGACTCAAGCAAGCCCCTCGAGCCTGGTATGAAAGATTAAGCTCTTTTCTTCTAAATTAAGGTTTCAAACAAGGTAATATTGACACAACTCTATTTATTATGCGTTCAAATTTAGGTAATCTTATTACTCAAATTTATGTAGACGATATTATTTTTGGGAGCTCTAACTCTGTATTATGTGAAGAATTTGCTCATATCATGAAAGGAGAATTTGAAATGAGCATGATGGGAGAGCTAACCTTCTTTCTTGGATTAAAAATCAAGCAATCTCCCAAAGGGATTTTTATTAGCCAAACCAAATACACCAAGTAACTCATAAAAAAGTTTGGAATGGAGAATGCAAAGCCTATTGGAACTCCAATGAGTCCAACAACTATGCTTAAAGAGGACATGAATGGAAAAAGTGTGAATGAAACAATATATAGAGGAATGATTGGATCTATACTATATCTTACGGCTAGTCGACCAGATATAGTGTTCAGTATTTGTAAGTGTGCAAGATTTCAGTCGCCTCCAAAGGAATCTCATCTGACTGCATTAAAACGTATTATAAGATATCTCATTGGGACCACTGAATTAGGATTATGGTATGCTCATTCCAACAATTTTGATTTAAAAGGTTTTTCAGATGCTAATTTTGTAGGTGATAGGACTGACAAGAAAAGTACTAGTGGCACATGCCAATTATCGGGGAATGCTCTAATTTCCTGGCATAGAAAGAAATAAAATTGTGTTGCCTTGTCAACTATTGAAGAAGAGTATTTAGTTGCTGGAAGCTGTTGTACACAAGTTCTTTGGATCATGCATCAACTTCTTGATTATGATTTATCTCTCACTTCTACTCCTATTTTCTGTGATAATACAAGTGCTATATGTCTGTCAAAAAATTCTATGCATCATTCTAGGGCAAAATATATAAATATTAAGCATCATTTTATTTGTGATCATGTTGCAAAAGGTGATATTTTGTTAGAGTTCATTAGTACTTAGTCCCAACTTGCTGATATTTTTACAAAACCTCTTTTGGAAGAAAGATTTTGTCTACTGCGTAAAAGATTGGTATTTTGTCTATTACGTAAAAATCTTACATATCTTTGTAAAATATTGTACTTCCTTTTTTAGTTTGCTTAATTGATGAGTGTATTAATTTGATGTGAGTGCTATTATTACTCTTCCATTGGTGCCGCCGAAGCAACTCCTCAGAAGTGTCACTTCAATCTGAACCTGCCCTTTCCTCTAACCAATGCAACCCTTCAATCTTTCAAAAGCCTAGATAAGTACCCTCCTTCTCTCTCATTATCCATCACTTCTCACCAACTTTTCTACCATGGCTAAGAGAAACATCTCATCCTCCACTGCCACAAGACGAAGCAGACAATTTCAAAAAACCCAAAACCCTGAAGACATCGTCGATCTTGAATCATCCCTTGATTCAGACCTCCTCAAAACCGATAATGAAAGCAGTGAATCATCGGAGGATGTCTCCATTAACCAGAAAAAGGCAGGAAAAAGACCTATTGAGCAAATCCCCAAAAGGCCTTCATGCAAGAAAGGGAAAGTGGAAAGCACATATTTTGGGCTAGATGATAAACTGAACTTCTATGGACCAAGTGATAAATCGAGGTTTGAGTCTTATAAGTCTAAATCTATGGCTTATGGACGCTCTGTGAGTCTCTCTCTTATGAAAACTTTTCACTGTGATGTGATTTCTATCTTTGATTTTCAACATCTTTCTCCTTTGTTTGATACTGTTGGAAATTCTGTGTATGAAGAACCTGTGAGGAATTTTTATGCAAATATGTTTGTTAATGACAAAGATGACTTGGAGTCAATGGTTCTAGGCACTCGGATTGGTCTTGGTTCCTATCAATTTGAAAAGATCTTTTCGGCTAAGTTTCATGGTTATGATGTTTTTGTGCAAAACTCCTGGCCTAAAGACTTTGAAGTTTCTTTAGAAGAGGCAAAAACTTTTCTATCTGAAAATCCTCCTGACATTGATACTAAAAGTTTTAAGTTTGAACTCCACGTATTAGCCCACAGGATTGCTACTAATCTACTTTCTAGGACTGGGTCTCTCAACACTTTGTCTACTAAGGATATCGTTGTTATTTACTGTCTTGTGAACAATAAAAGGCTTGACTGGTTTGTGTGGATTCGTCAGCATATGCTTGAAAGTATCAGGGATATATCCTCTTTTGCTGCTTGTTTACCCTATGGCTTGCTCATCTCATATACTCTTGAGGTTATGAAGGTTGATTTGGCACCTTTCACCCCTAAGTACATTACAAGAACCTATGACAAGGCAACATTTTCTATGATGGGTTACACTTTACGTGACAATGGATGGGTCAGATGTGCCAAGGTTAAAAGCACTCCAGTAAAGATTGAGCCAACCACTGAACCAACTGAGCCTCAGTCGACTGCTACCAACAACCTATAGCAGATTCAGCAAAGTCTAGATGGGGTAAAAATCATGCTCATTGCAATGAAAGAACAGGTGGACAAGATCAGGGAAGTCACCAAAGAAACAGGTACAGATGTGGCTAAGCTCAGGATGGACATGGGATCCACAAGGAGACAAAGAATAAGGACATTCAACTTTATGACAGAGATGATGAACAAAATCACCAAAGAAGTTGAAACCTCCTATGACTCCTTCTGTACTAAAGTGATCAATACCCTGAAATACTTTCTGGGGAGGAACTAAGGCAGTTTTGTGTGTGTGTGTGTGTGTGTTTAAAATAATCTTTTTGCTCTTAGTTTGTTTTTGTTTTGTTAATTACTTTTGCTTTGGTCTGTAAGAACCATCACCATGTGCCTCTGCTGAAGGCATAACATCTGATGCCCTAACTACTATGTTCATTATCTACTCTGTTATGTCTGGTCTATCTGCACTTGCTTCTTTCTTTTTGATTGATATCAATGGGGAGAAACGTGATGAGTAAAACAGAGCAACAACTCGGGGGGGAAATACTTAAGTACATGGTAACAACTAAGGGGGAGTAGGCATTTTAAGATATGAGCAACACTTCAGTACATGGTAACAACTAAGGGGAAGCATGAATTTTAATATTTGAAAATATGAAAGGGAAGTATACTCTGTTTACTCTTTTTGATTGTCATCATCAAAAAGGGGGAGATTGTTACACCTAAGTTTCAATGATGACAATAATGCAAATTTAACTGTATCTATTTAATTGCAGAAAATTATGAGGGCAGTACTAAATCAAAGGAAGTCAATATATTAAAGATATCAAAAGGAAACAAGATCAAATGCAGCAAGGACAATGCTAAATCAAAAGATGTCAACATCAAAAAGGAAACAAGATCAAGTGCAATCGCTATAGGAAGATAGTCCCTACTTCAAGAATTGATTTGGAATCTAGAGATTCTGAAGATTGATCGATCAAGTCAAGCCACAAATCACTCCCCTGATTATGAATACGGAAAGAAAGGACGTAAATGAATCCAACCTATCTCTTGAACAGGATTCGGAGGCACCCCTTAGGTCAAAACTCTTAGAACATTTTGTGCCTCAATCAATGGTCAATCTGCAGCAGCCACTCAAGACTCTCGTATAAGAAGACTAGCAGACTCAAGAATTCAACTACGCAACTTACCACTATTTTCTATGTCTTCCTAGTTCTTAGCACAAACACTGTATTCCTAAGTTTAATAGTGTCTCAAAAGATAGAAAGTGTTAGGAAGCAAAACAAGAGTTGTGTCAAGTTTATAAAATATTGTTGCTGAAAATAGTTGGTGGTAAACGATCCATAAAAACACTGCTACTGTAACCAACCATTGAAGATCTAAGAGAATCCTTGTGACCCAAGAAAACTGGATGTAGGTACCACACTGGTACTGAAACAGTATAAAACTCTTGTGTTCTCAGCCTTTAAATTCCTTGCAATTTATTTTCATCGTCAATCAAACCTGCTGATAAAGCTAAGTCGACTAGGTCTCTTCTAAGTCGACTAAGTTTTTAAATTTGCTACAATTCACCCCCTCCCCTATTGTACTTTTAATATGTTCAAGATCTTACCGACCCATTCCTCGATGTTATTGACCCCATCAAATTTCACTACGTTGGTTGCACCCAGAGTAATCTATAGTTAGGTAAGTACAAAAAACACAGCTGCTGGAAGAAGTATTTATGGTTGATGTCCCATGCCTCGAGAAAAAGTACTTTGTTCAGATGAGTTAGCTCATTGGTCGGTACAAAGACGTACCTTTCGTACCACCCTCATTCATAGACTTCATCGCAACTAGAGATGATAGCCGACTTACGCTATAAAGTCATTGAAAGTATGTTGCCTCGGTATATCTTGGGAGAGTAAAGGTAAGGAAGATTCCAAACGGTGAAGGTTTCCTCGGCCAAAGAACCAAGGTGATGTAAGCAAGCAACATGCCTCCACACTTAAGGCCCTACCCGAGCTAACCAGATATTGTACTTTCTGCACATCTCCTTGAAGACTTTATCTATCAGGAGCTTTAATTCGATAGTGAAAGTGTAGGTGTACACATTGGAGAAGTGTTCACAATGTTCAATAATTGGATTGCCCTCCTGGACCTAATAAACTAGTACACTATCTTCCACCACAATCCGCCTGGATAGAAGGAAGGTCATCTAGTCGTATCTTGGAAGCAAACTCACCCACCGGTCTATTACGGTCCCTGGACTGCTTCCCAGTCTTACTCCGAAGAGTACAATCCACCAAGAAATCTAACTTCTTGGGGACTATATCCAACACAGTCGGATCCCAACCATCTTTCTTGTTCTTTAAGAAGGCTTGGTGGCAGAGGCTTTTCCTTTCCTTACTAGTGTCGTTGTTTCCTCCTTCTCCATTTTGTCGGTGCCAGCTGCCAAAAATTACCTTTAGATGGCATTAGAGACGGTCGTAGTAGAAGGCTTGTTGGCTTGAAGGGTATGTCTTTGAGATGCCATAAGTATATACGCAAGGACAAAGAAGGATTTGACAAGAATTGAAAAAAAGTGGAACCAAAAGGCAACAACTCGGGAGAGAATTTGAAAATACAACGATAGAAGTTCTAGCGGAACTATGAAGAAAATAAAGAAGGATAAAAAACGAGTTAAGTATTTATAGGCCTAGGGTCATGATTTCCTCGGTAACCGATGTTGATACCATCACCATTCCGAGTTTGCCACGTGTCTCAAGCGTAAATTGAAAAGACATCCATAATTTCAAATTCAAGGATAATGGTATCGGTTGAATCTAGTTTCCCGCCTAAAAGTTTTCACTTCTAAGACAACTCCCAAAAATTATCTGAAAAGTAGGGAAACTATCAATATTGATAAAAAAAAAAAAAAAAAAAAAAAAAACCCAAANAAAAAAAAAAAAAAAATACGCCAAACACGTAGCAGGAACAGAAATCAACACGAGGCAAACATTAGAATTTTCTAGTCAACTCGGGTCACAAGTCACCTGGTCGAAGACTGAAAAGACTTAACCATCTGAAGAAGCTAGTTCCGGGATCGCCCATATGTATCGGATAATAACATTTCAGATGATCCATCCGGACTGAAACATCCAAACATTTACTATCCAGCACCAGCAAGATTCGGAATATGTGTGATTCTGCATTAAACATATGTGATGGTTATGATTCTACCAACGTAACATATGTGATCCTCCTTGTAATGTTTATGACGAGTGGGTGTGAAATGAGGGAGCGGTTACAGCTAGGTTATCTAATATATACCTCCCTTCCCCTACCATTGTAACACACATTCTGATATATACAACATAGCATACAAACACTCTAGTAAATTTTTACTTATTTAGCATCCATTCCTGCTGTTTGCTATCAATTTGGATGGATTGATCACTAAGAATTACTCTCTCTTATTCTCATTTCATTTTGAATCTTATTATTATTATTATTATTACTACACTATTTTTATAAATTTTATCGTACTAACATAATTTTTCCACTATCAAAGGATTGAACCAATTTGGTTTAATCACATTGCTTGAGAAGTAAATTTTGCTAAGTTAATTATTAGATCTAATAACTAAGTTTAGGTTAAACATGTTCCTCTTTACAATCCTTTACTCCAACTTTAGTATTGTTTCAACTTATTGTGCATTTTTAAGTGCTCAAAGAAGCAGGATATTAAAACATGAAAAATCCAAAACGAACAGGTTTAGGCTAAAGCATGGCTATCAAACGAAAGGATACAGGCTTAACGGGGTTGAATAGGGTCAACCACATTAAGGTAGGCTAGAAAAGATCAAACGAGATACAGAGGGGGAAGTGCACAGTTAGCCACTAATTAGAGATGTCTTTGCTCTTTAGCCACTGTTTAAAATATATTTATTCTTTAGCCAGTGCTTAATAAATTTTTATCTGTCCGGACGAAAATACCCTTGTGTTAGACATGGATGTTGTGTAAATATTAAGGACATGGTGTCCTTAACTTCACGAATGTTGTATAAATATTAAGGACAAAATGTCTTGTATTTGCACTTTCCGTTATTAAACTTTAGGATATCATGTCCTTAACTTCATACGTGCAATGTAAATATTAAGGACATGACGTCCTTAACTTCATGTGTATAGTGTAAATGTTAAGGACATAATGGTCTTAACTTGTATTTGCACCTTATGTTGTTAAACTTTAGGATCTCATGTCCTTAATTTCGTATGTGCAGTATAAATATTAAGAATATGGTGTCATTAACTTCATGTGTGCAGTGTAAATGTTAAGGACATAGTGTCCTTAACTTTATGAGTGTTGTGTAAATATTAAGGACATGGTGTCCTTAACTTCATGAATGATGTGTAAATATTAAGGACAAAGTGTCCTTTATTTGCACCTTCAGTTGTTAAACTTTAGGACATCGTGTCCTTAACTTCATACGTGCAGTGTAAATGTTAAGGACATGACGTCCTTAACTTCATGTGTGCAGTGCAAATGTTAAGGACATGGCGTCCTTAACTTCATGTGTGCAGTGTAAATGTTAAGGACATGACGTCCTTAACTTCATGTGTGCAGTGCAAATGTTAAGGACATGGCGTCCTTAACTTCATGTGTGCAGTGTAAATGTTAAGGACACCACATCCTTAATATTTACACAACACTCATGAAGAAAGGGTAAAAATGTCTTTTCTTATTAATTTTAATAGAGTAGTGGCTATTTTTGCTCAGCATTAAAAATACTGTATAAAAATAAAATAACATGTTAAACAGTGCTCTCATGTCATTTCTACGATAAAGAGGGCATATAATCACTTTTTAAACTGAGAAAACCTTGAATTTTATTTCAACTCACATGCGAGACAAGTTTTAAACTCAATACAATTTATGGAACAAATAAAAGGGTTCATATCACACATGGCACATGATTCACTCAAGACAGATCCATTCCAACTCTCAATCAAAGCAAGAATATAGCAAAGCCATAAAATTATTCATGAAGCACAATAATGAATATAGAAATCAAGAAAATGAGCTTAAGCATCACAAAACAGACTATTCATTTTTTTCCAAAACGCACTAGATTTTTAAAACTCACAGGGAAGGTTGTATAATCCTCTTGTCTAGGCCTAACTCTTTTGGTATCAAATAAGCCACAAAATATATTTAGGATTCGTACTAAACACTTTCTACGTTAACTGTATCCCAACTATTCTAGAAAGAAAAAAGTACTCAGTTCAAGCTTTCATCCCTTGAAAAAGAATCGATACCCAAAGAAAAACCAAGAGGAATTATTATCTATCTAACATGAAATAAAACTAACATAAGTTCTAGCAGGTGGCAGTGCTAAAATTCTTAATCAAATCATACAAAGCTCGGGCAATCTGAGAATCAAATAGCTCAACAACATGGTACCCTATTTCAAGAAATTCCCGCACCACGTGCACTCCACGTGACTCCAACATATTTGCTAGTTGTTTTCCCCTATCTACTAGTGGATCTCCTTCATACCCTCTGATTAAACACCTTGGTAACCGTCCAATCTTTTCGTGCAATTCAGACCGTGCGATCGACGGGTTGCAATACTCATGATCTCTGTCAACACCCTTTGGCAATGCTAACGACCACATCAAATCGCCCATATGCAGTGGTACAACCTTATCATTGATTAAGTTAGTCTCAGATTCTGTTCTCTGGACCCCACCAAAGTATGCTTGATCAATTATCAAACCTTCTATCTTCATTGGCTCAACATCCATATCAACTGCATGTAGACCTGCACGTAACAACAACAACAATAATTAACCCTTAGTTTTCATAAATGGGATGGGACGTGCGAGGATAGTGTAACCACATATTTTACTCCTATCCTACACGTAAAGATGACAAAATCAATCCATTTTACTAACTATTCTAAATTAGTTCAAAGTTTAAATTAGTTGTGTAATGATTCATTTATTTACATGATCCAACATGTGAAACTCAAAATAACAAGGAGTCAAAATATTTGTAATGTAAACGAGTCCAAAACAAACCCAAACTTAAACATATATAATCAATTTTTGGAGATTGAGAATTACTATGTAAGTAAATAATTGGGCAGAAGAACTTAAGCTAACAATTTAAGAAAAATACATTAAGTAACTTTCATTTTTTTAAATAAGAAATTATATAAAAAGGGAGGTTGGGTATGTGGGGATGGACTGTGACTCGTATTTAACCCGCCCAAATTTGACCCAACCAACCCTTCAGTTGTACCTGCATGGTACACTATGTTTCCTCCTGAACTACTGCCCATCAAGAACACTTTGGAGAAGTCAACAAGCTCTTTCAACCATGGATCACAGTTAATATCGCCAATAGCTTGATCTTTAGCCCACTTGATAGCATCAACGGCATCTTCATAGGCGGCTGGGAGGCGGTGTTGGGGAGCGAGCCGATACTCCACGGCGGCAATCAAAGCAGGAACTTGAGCTGCCATGGAGCTACAATATTCATGGAAGATAACAGAAGTTACACTAAAGAGTATGAAGCCACCTCCATGGAAGTATATGATGAGTGGGAGGTTAGTGTTTTCGGGTGGATTCGTTGGCCTGAAAAGGCGTATGAAGGTGTTGTTTGTGGAGTTAAGAGGAATGTCTTTGTAAAGAGTATTTGATTTTGAGTCATTTTCTGGTTTTGGAAGAATATTGATGAAATCGTAAGCTTCTTCTACTGTTTTTTTCCCAAGAATCTCTTGCTCGTCCATGGTTATTCAAGTGTTAAAAACAAGCAGTGCTTTTTAGGAAGATGAGATGAGAATTAAGATGGCTTTTTCAAGTTTAGAAGAAGATGGAAAGAGATACTAATAATGTGTTGGAGTTGGTAATACGTAACAATTTTCCTGCTATTTTTATCAAGTGCTTACAAGACGTTCTTTTCTTCATCACTTAATATGTTTTGTATTTTCCAACTCTTATTTTCTAACTCTACTTCATTACGCATGATGGCGTAAAGAAAATTTTTATAGTTCCTTTGTAATTTAATCTATTATAGGAGTAGTAAATTACTCCCTCCATCCTAACTTATGTGAAGATATTTAGAGTTCGAGACTCAAACGAATTCTTCTTTGACCGTAATTTTTTATATGTATTTTAGATATTTTAAATTATTAATTATTGTTACTTATAATACATTTTACCTAGTTTTCAAAAATATAAATTTTATTTCGAAAAACTAAAAAATTTTATGTCCAAATATATGGTCAAAATCTAAAAGTTTGAATCTAGAAAAGCGGACACGGTCACATAATTAGAACATAAGGAGTATCATTTTTAGGTTACGAATTAGGAGTGATACTTCTTAGTTATAGTTACTTATAATTGACTTTTAAATGAATTGATTGTGTAAAAACGTTTTGCATCAATATCATAATAATTCATAAGCTTTAAACTCTAACGGTTGAGAATTGAGTTTTGATGATTAACAAGTGTGTTCAATGACCGTGTGCTAAGAATCAGATTCTCACGGTAGCACTTGCACAACAGAGTTTTGATTTCTACTTCTACTATTACTCTAATGATAGAAAGCTAAGGTAAATAGACTAGAGATGAATGTTTTTGATATTTTACCAAATAGTTTAAAGGCCTAGGGATGTGATCATAATCTAGGTGTTTGTCTAATGGGATAAAGACGTTAACACTTGTTTTGTTGATTGGGGTGTATTATAGCTCTCAACTCTACATTATCACCTCAATACCTCTCGGTCAAAGAGTGATTTTGCCCAATTTGACTTTCTTAAATCCAAATGGGTATCAAGCAAAATAGTTGATAAGAGCTCAAGTCGGGTTCTTACTATCTCTAGTTTGAACCCTTTAATTAGGCTAATCAATCTCTCAATTAACCTAATTTCTTGTTAGCCAAAATTATCCTAGACTAGGTCCCTCTTTCTCAAGTAGAGACTAAGTCAAATAGGCATGAATCAATGTTTGCAACCATTAATTCTAAAATTGAAACATGAACTAAGCTAAATAATGAACACCCAATCATAAACAAGCATTTAATTAAATACCCATAAGGTTTACACACTAGGGTTGGGTCACAGCCCTAGTAAATCTCTAGCTACTCATAGTGGGAATTGAAGAAAATAAAAGAAGAAAAGATAATTAAACTCATAATGAAAGATTAAAATGATGAAATCTAATGTTTAAACACTAAAATAATTTCAAACTTCCTAAAGTAGTAAAAAAGAAACGGCTACATCAGCTTTTAATGTTCAAACTTGACCTAAATTTGTGAAACTCGTCTATTTATACTGGGCCAAAATTCACGAACCAATATGCCCCTCGGGAGGTTCTGCGGCAGCACAATTCCATGTGTGGTCCGCATATTTCTTCAGCTGGCAGGAAGCTGAGTTTTGCAGCCGCATATTTTTGGATTGCGGCCGCGAAGCAACTTCTGCGGCTGCACAATTCTTGTGTGGTCCGCACTTCACAAAGGCGTCAGGACTTGGTCTTTTTTGCATATTTTTTGAACTTTGAATCTTTGTCAGTGAAAGCCCGGTTCTGCGGTCGCACAATTCATGTGCGGTCCACACATTGCTAAAATCTTGTTGGGTTATGCTTCTTGGTTTACGGCCGCAAATGGAATTCTGCGGTCTGCAATTTCTTCTGCGGCCGCGGAATTCCTTCTGCGAACCTCACATCTTTGCTACTCTGCCCTTTTATTGCCTTGTGCTTCGGAACACTTCTTTTTTAGTCGGATTTCATCGTGGGAGACCAAACTTCCAGCATTCCTGTAATTTGCACAATTTTATTAGTTTCGGGAATACAATTCAATACTTCAAGATTAAAACAAAAGCTAAAATGTCCTAATATGCAGTCAAAATCCCCACTTATCAACTCTCCCAAACTTAAGTCTTTGCTTGTCCTCAAGCAAATAAATTAGTTCCCACCACCAAAAGTTAAGGGTCATTTCAGTGAATCAAAGGCGAGCCATTCAAACATCAGTTGGGACCAATAATTACCCACACAACTCATGCATTATCAACAAGGCGACAAGTTAAGCATTCATGCACATATAGTTCTACTATGATATTTGAGCTTCAAGAATTAACTTTACTCATCAAGGACTCTTGCTCTATCATGCAGGCCATGGCGGAATCCAAACTCTTCCTCCTCTACTTTCCATTTGCCAAGCTCACTTAAGAAATTTATCACTCAATCCAAAGATTTATGAAAGGTTCACTCATCTCTCTCAAGAGAATGTCACAAGTACGGCATCACGTACCATAGGTTTGCCCCTCTTGTAGATCTCCACTAATGTAAGATCACTTGATTTGAAATCAAGTAGGACTTCTTTCGGATGTAATGAAGGCTTTTGGGTTAGGGTAGGATACCGTATGGGTAAGTGGTTACACATTTCCTTAAGCACTCCATCTTTCTTTTTTCGGCTCACACTTTGCAAATTCTTAGAGGCACTTGCTTTTCATTGGGGACTAGAGAGACTTAGTATCACTCTTTCTTGATCATTTCATTCTTTTTATCCCTTTTTGATTTCTCCATATTTCGGATCATTACGTCTTTTTTTTAATCCATTCAACCCTTCCACTTATTCACTTATTTATATTTTTCTTTTTGTTCTTTTCTTTTCTTGCCTTCTCTTCTCCTAGAGATCATTTTTTTTCTCTTTTTGTGCCTTGGGGNCTGCTCCACCCCTACCTCCACCACGAGCGGCTCCACACCGGATATAACCCAATGAAGGATATGCAAGTGCAATAGTCCCTCCCCGTATTAGGGCGGGCAACTTCAAAATTACCAATGTGATGCTCACTTTTCTTGAGCAACGGGATTTCTTCACCGGTGCTCCAACTCAAAATGCATACAATCATTTGAAAGGGTTTGTAGACACTTGTTGGGGGAGAAAACAAACAAATGTCTCCGATGATGCATTGAGGCTAAGGCTTTTTCCCTTCTCTCTACGGGGAAAAGCTTTAGATTGGTTGGAACGATTACCGAACCATTCCATTCACACTTGAGATGAGTTGGCGGAAAAGTTTATTTCTAAGTTCTTCTCTCCGAGGCACATGGCTACACTTCGAGATGAGATTTTGGCATTCAAGCAAGAGCCAAATGAACAACTACACGAGATATGGGAATGCCATAAAACAATGGTTAAGGAATATCCCAACAACGATATGACGGAGAAAATAATTCAACAAACTTTCTATCGTGGGATTAACATAACCAACTAATGTATAGTGAATCAACTTTCCGATGGGAACTTCATGACTACGCCTTATGCGAAGGCGTGTGAGATTTTAGATGAGATGGAGGACACGTCATCGGCTTGGAAATCCCGGGCCAATCTTCCACAAGGTGATCCAAACATGATCCACCTTCATAAAGAATTTCAAGACCATGGGCAAGCCATTCCTGAATTGACAACCACCATGACGCAACTAGCAAAGGCCCAACTAAATCAAGTGCAAAATCCCAAGTAATTCAATGCCATGGAGGGAGTGAACATGATGGTGAACAAGAGAAGGACCAAAGGTACACAAGTGCAAAATCGAGTGGAGAATTATGTGCAAGAAGATAGTGGTTTTGAGAAAGATGATTCCTATAATAAACAAGAAGAGGAGGTGCAATATGTGAATAATTTTCAAGGGCAAAAAAATAATTTCCAAGTCCCAAACCAACAATAATGGTGACCTCAAAACAATCAAGGCAATTGAAATTCTAACAATCAAGGCAATTTGTATAACAACAACAATCAAGGAAATTGAAATTGAAATAATCAAGGAAATTGGGGGGAGGGGGGTAACAATCAAGGCGGATGGAACAACAATCAAGGCAACCGGGGATCGGGTTTTCAAAGGTCCCCGATGTATAAACAACCGAGCAACCCACCTCCTTATCCTCCCCATAGTGCAAATTATTCAAATAACGAGATGGGGCATATTGAAAATATGTTCAAGCAAATGATGGAAAAGAATGTCGATTCGGATGCCCAACTTGCCTCACACAACACATTAATTTGCAACTTAGAAGTTCAAATGGGGCAAATCTCTCAAGCTCTAAATTCTCGTCCTAGGGGGGCACTACCAAGTGACACAGTAGTAAACTCAAAGGGTGGAAACAACACGGGACATGCCATGGCTGTTACTACAAGAAGTGGAAGAGGTGAGAATACACCCACCTCAATTCAAAGGCAAATTGTGGATGATGAGCAAGTGGTGCAAGAATAAGAGATCCCGAACAATGTGGTGCGACCTAATGATGAAGTTCGGATTGATATTGATGATAGTGTCGAAGAGACTCAAAAGGATATAAACCCGTCTAGGGATCACATTATTGACATACCGGAGCCGGTAGTGCAAAAGGCTAAGGTACCATTGCCTAAGCCTCTGCCTCCATACCCTCAAAGACTTGCTAAGAAAAATGGCGAGAATCAATTCAAGAAGTTCATTCAAATGATGAAGAGTCTCTCGATCAATGTGCCATTAGTTGAAGCTTTGGAACAAATACCAGGTTATGACAAGTTTATGAAGGATATCGTAACAAAGAAGCGGTCAATGAATTTTGAAATGATCAAAGTCACTCATCAAGTGAGTGCAATTGTGCATTCAATGGATCCTAAGTTGGAGGATCCCGGTGCTTTCACGATTCCTTGTACAATTGGAAGTGCCGAGTTTGCTAAAGCTCTCCGTGATCTTGGGAAAAGTATCAATTTGATGCCCTATTTGGTTTTCAAGACTTTAGGGATTGGGCAACCAAGACCCACCTCTATGAGATTGCAAATGGCCTATCATACTATGAAGAGGCCTTTGGGAGTGATTGAAGATGTCTTGGTTTGTGTTGATAAATACATTCTTCCGACGGATTTTGTCATTCTAGATTGTGAGGTTGATTATGAAGTGCGAATTATTCTTGGGAGATCTTTCCTTGCTACGGGGAAGGCTCTTTGTGATGTTGAAGCTGGAGAACTTACATTACGGGTTGGTGATGAAAAGGTGGTA